AGTGTAACTATCCATAAGTCAAATAAACTTCTAATTCCTTTCTCTAAGAATCCCCTTAAGAGAGGGAGTCTCACAAACTATGTCTGTAGTGACTCCAATTCCTTCTCTCTTTTATTACTTGCACTTTCCTTCTTGAGGTCTTTAACCTCAAACTGTAAAAGACAGTCCAACTTATCAATCTACCAATGTAACTCCAATTCAAATTTACCTCTGAAACTGCTACATCAACCTTCCCAGGTATCATGCTACAGACACGTATGTCTCCCACAGCTTTCACCTGCCTATTTTCATGCCTCAGCCTCCCAAGTGCTGGGATTACAGGCGTTCCCCACCCCACCCCCAACTAAATACTCAATATTTACTGAAGTCAACTAAATAGGGTATCTTCTGAGGACTTACAGCCTAGGGTTACTTGACAGGAAAAGAATTCTAAGACCTTGAAGTCCTCACTGGGAAATTCCAGTTGAAATGCTCTATAAACATTTAGATTTGAAAACTCCACAATGTCACTACACAGCAAACCCAAAACACATCCACTAATCAGCCACTTCAAATTATGTATATTCCCCAAGAATATGAACCTTAAGTGACCTTGGCTATTCCATCATTTTATAATTTTATCTCACCCTTCAAAGCCTCTCTTAAATACTTCCTACCTCCTCAGTGACTTTTTCCAGCCAGCAGACTTACAATTCATCTACTATGCCAGGAATGTTGCTAGAAATTAGAATCTCCCCTGTATCCCACTGGAAATTTGTGTTTTCAGAACATATAATCTCTGCCTTAGAGTCTTCTGTATCTGTCTTTCTTCTCCACTGGAGCTAGCCCATCCTTGAAGACTTCCAGTGTTTTGCTGACCTCTGCACTCCCATTATTTTCTAAACAGTACAGTTGAGTAAATACTCATGTTCAAGGATTTTGTTTACTTTTTTTGAAACAGGATCTCATGTAGCCCAAGCGGTCCTCCAACTAGAGATCTTCATGTCTCAGCCTCCCAAGTGCTGGGATTATAGGTGTGCCTTACCCCACCCCCAATTAAATACTCAAAGGCATTTTCTGAGCACTTACAGCCTAGGGTTACATGATAGGAAAGGAATTCTAAGACCCTGAAGTCCTCACTTGGAAATTCCAGTGAAATGCTCTCAAACATTAAGCTGTGACAATGTGCGGGGCGCCAGTGGCTCACACCTGTAAAGCTAGCTACTCAGGAGGCAGAGATCAGAAGGCTCTCGGTTCAAAGCCAGCCGGACAAATAGTTCCTAGAGACCCTATCTCAAAAAACCCTTCACAAAAATAGGGCTGGTGAGTGGCTCAAGGTGAAGGCCATGCGTTTGTTCAAGTCCCACTACTGGAAAAGAAAAAAAAAAAAGGATGTGACAATGTAAGGAAAACTGTGGTCTTCATCTTAATTTCAGCTGACTCTTAGATTTGAGATGAGTAAATAACTGAATGGGGAAAAAAAAACCAAGGTACAAACATCTATTTATCTATTTGGTCAACTGACTTTTGACAAGGGTCCCATGACCATCACTCAGTAGGAAAAGAACATTCTTTTCAACAAATGGTGTTGGAACTAGATTACCATATGCAAAAGAATGACATTGGACCCTTATCTAATGCCATATACAAAAACTAACTCAAAATGGATCAGACCTAACATAAGAGCTGAAAATATAAAACTCTTAGAAGAAAGCATAGGGCTTCAGAAACCTTCACGACCTTGGATTCAGTAGAGGATTCTTGGCTATGACACTGAACGCATAACAAAAGAAAAAATGGATGAACTGAATTTCATAAAAATGTAAAAAGACTTGTGCTTCAAAGGACCCCATTAAGACCAGAAAGTTAAGGCCTGAAGAGGTACACATAACTGGAATTCTAGGTGAATTTGAGGTCAGCCTAGGGTAGAGAAGGAGACCCTATCTCAGGGAGCAAAAAACCCCCCACCATGTAAAGAGTCAGGCACTGCAACCCATGCCTCCAATAGTCCCAACACTCAAAAGCAAAGGCATAGGCATACACCTGTAATCCTAGTTACTCAGGAGGAAGAGAAAACGAGGATTGTGGTTTGAGGTCAGCCTGGGTCAAAAGGTAACCAGACCCCATCTCAACCAGTAAGGTAGGCCTGGTGGTACGTTTTTCTAATCTCAGCTACACAGAAGACATAGGTAAAAGGATTGCAGTTAGAGGCTGGCCTGGGCAAAAACTCAAGACCCTATACAAAATATAACTAAAGCAAAAAAGGTCAATGGGCATGACTCAAGTGGTAGTGTTATCTGCCTAGCAAGTGTGAGACTGAGTTCAAACCCTAGTTCCACCAAAAAAATTTAAATAAACTGTACACATTAAATAAGTGAATTGTACAGTAAGTGAATTATATCTCAACAAAACTATCTCTAAAAAACCAACTAAACAAAAAACACCCAGGCATATAATACAAATTCCTGACTTTCCTTTTGAAAGGTGGGGTCTACTACTCCATGATAAAAGGTTAAGCATCTAGATTAAGATCGTATCATTTAAGGAAAAAAGTAGCATTCATTAACAATTTAAAGCCTTACTTCTAAAACAGAACTGTTTTGCGGGTCTGAAACACCTTTTTATTTTATTTTTTTGGTTCTTTTGATGGGAATGTTTTTGAACAGGATCTTGCAATGTAGCCCCAGCCTGGTCTCAAACTGGCTATCCATCTGCCTCAGTCTAGCACATGCTGGGTATTACAGGTACACACTCCTAGGCCTGGCTGAAACAGCTTATTTTACTGAACTCAGCTTTTTGTGACTGTTCTTAATTTTGAAAGGAAATGCTTTGCCCTCAGAAATTGCTAAATGAATAATATAATTTGAAAACTTTACTTTTTAAAATTAAAAGACATTTACTTATATGGCTTACTTTCAATTTACAGCGTAGTTAGTAAATATTTTCTTAGTTAATAAGTATTCAAGGCAGAAGGTCACTTCACACCTGCTCACTCAGTGTTCTCTATGGCCCAGAAGCTGTATCAGGAAAGCTTGTTAAAAATATACAATATTGGATCCTACCCCAGACCAGCAGAATCAGAATTTGCCTTCAACATCACTAGGTAACTTACTGTATAAAGTTTGAAAAGCATCCAGGATGTAGCTCAATGGCAGAGTACTTGCCCAAAGCAAGGCTTTGGGCTCTACACCCAGCACCACAAACAGCTGGGCCTGGTGGTGCATTCATGTAGCCTAGCACCTGGTAGGCTGAGAGGAGGATCTCAAGTTCTAGCCCAGCTTGGGTTGAATATAGAACCTCTCAAAAAAACCAAAAAGCACACAGATTCCAGTGAGGTGCAGGCATCTACATGTTAAACATGAATACTGTGAATTCTTTTGTAACCAAAGTTTGAGAAGCTGTTTTAAAAAGAGCAATTTTAGAGTAACTGTGGTATGCTATGAAATTCTGCTATATATCCTTTGCCAAACATTTTAAAGGGGAAAAATATTGAATTTACAAATCTGACAGCCTACCACTTTCTTAAAAATAACCTGTATAAGTCCCTGAAATAAGGATTTAAGTGAACAGTTAATAACTTTATTTACAACTTTCACAGTACATTTACCAAAATAAATTTAAAGCAGTCATAATCAAATTTTGCAGACTTTCCCTGAAAAAAAGAGTCAAACGCTTTTTTTTCCTTAAAGCCCCATCCACATGGGAAATACAAATATTAGTTCCTTTTATTCTAAGTGGCCTCAACTTTAAACAGAATGCTTAGGATTTTAGTTCACACAAGGTCAGTCAGGTTTGCTCTGACGCCTGCTAGAAACCTTTGTATCCCCAAAGAGAAAAAGGCTTTAGGATCCTGTGGACACTTTCAACATGTTAAGGTAACTGAGTATTATGTATACAGGGGTAAAAAAGATACTAACTCCCCCAAATATACCCTGGAAAATAATCTGTACTAATTCTTAGGAGATGCTGGTTTTGCCAATTAGTCCAGTAAGCATTTATTGGCTACAAATGTTTGAGGTTTTGTGAGGAGCAGAGGTGATCATGGCACTCCAGGGAACCTATGCTCTGGGGGTAGGTGGGGTTTGGCTGCGACACTGCACAATTAGCAGATTGTCGAGTGCAGAAAACGGTTCCCGGAGTTCCCAGGTTCCGATGGCTGAAATGCAGATAACGGCTCTTCTACAATAATTTCCAGTTGACTTGGTGGAGAGCTGAAGAGGTCAAGAAGGCGTCAACAAAGCACCTGATGGGGAGCAGGCCACTGGCGTGTGCTCGCGTCCCGGTGGACGCAGCTAACGCGGCTGGGGCGGCCGTGCTGTCAGCAGCGCCGGCGGACGCGGGCCGCCGCACTGGAGTTCACGAGGGTGTTTCCTCGGACAAAAACAGGAACACCCTGCTTCAGAGACCGCTGACCATGCGAGAACAGAGGAAAAGGGGTGCAGAGCTGTTCCTATTTCTCCCCTGGTAACTTAAAAAAAAAAAAAAGGCAGTTCCTGGACTGCTAGACTACTCCCTCCGATCGAGCGCGTATTTTCTAAACACCATGCATGCATATCCTCTAAAAACCCTACGAACAAGACCGGCGAGCGCGTTCCTCCACTTGAGAGTCGCGAGCGGAAGCTCGGGCCCACGGAAGTGGCGGCGGCGCAGGACAGAGCCGAGGAACGGGGCCAGGGCGCGGGCTCTCGCGGGAGGGAAGGCCGGCCCGGTCCGCAGGGGCTGCGGCAGGCAGGGACCGAAGGCCCGGCCCCGTGGCCTGGAGAGGTGCACGAGCCCGAAAGACGCGGCCAAAGCCCCGTCCGCCCGGCCCGGCCCCCAGGCTGCTCTCGGGAGGACGCCTGGCCATCCAGGCCAACCCCCGCCACCACAGGCACCTGAGGTGGGGCCGGCGTCACAGGTGTCGCCCCGATTCGGTCCGGCAAACCCGGGGGGCGGGGAGGGACAAGTCAGGCAGGGAAAGGCAGCCAAAGGTGAGACGCGCGGAACAGCACGGCACGGCACCCACGGCGACGCGCTCTCACCTCCAGGGTGGAGACAGTGCTGGTGAACAGGTCTTCCCCGTCCTCCAGCTCCTCAAAGTCGGTGGGCTTCCCGTCCCCCAGCGGAGGAGGCTCCCTCTCGGCCGCCATCTTCGCTCGCCTGGACAACTGCGTGAGCAGGGACGCGCGGACCTGTCACGTGAGCACGCACGGCGGGGCTCGCGCGCCGACAGCTCGCAGCCCCGCCTTCCCGGCCCGCCCCTCGCAACCCCGCCCCCCTGGTCCCGCCCCCAGTCCGGTTAAAGAGCCCGCACCCCACGCGGCCCGCCTCTGCCTGGCGAAGGGTCCGCCCCCAACCCAGTCCCGCCCCGCCCCGTCCCCAGTCTGGTGAGAGGCCCGCCCACCACTCGGCCCCGCCCCCAGTCTGGTTGGAGAGCCTGCGCCCGCGGCCCCGCCCCCAATCTGGTGAAGGGCCCGCCCTCCGCGCGGCGCCCCGCCCCTTCTGCTCTCCTTCCGCCTCCACGTCTGGGTCGTTGCCTCCCTTTTCACCGCCCGCTGTCTTCTCTGATTTAGGCGGAAGAATCGGCACACCTCACCAGGCCAAAGCCTTGTGGTTTCTGTTGACGGTACCCGTGTTTAAATCCCCCTAGGAAGTAGATGAGCTCGGCAACAGTCTTTCGCTTGGGTTGAGCGTTGGTGGAAGGGAGGCACATACGCTCTCAAGCATCCCTAGGGCCGTGCAAAAGGACCTTCCGCCATGGTGGAAGAGAGCTGTGTTTCCGCTGATACAACAGCCAGCGGTCACAGGTGGCCACTAGGCGCTGAAAATGTGGCTCGTGTGAGGAGCTAAGTTTTTTTTTTATTTTGTTTTTATTAATTTAAATCTTACTACTCTACTAATAGGTGACAACCTACTCGACAGTACAGCGCTAGATAACAAAAGGACCATGACTTTTTTTTTTTTTTGGTACTGGGGCTTGAACTCAGGGCCTACACCTTGAACCATTCCATCGGCCCTTTTTTGTGATGGGTTTTTTTCGAGATAGGGTCTCCAGCACAATTTGCTTAGGCTGTCTTTGTACCGCGGTCTTCCTGAGTAGCTAGGATTACAGCTGCGAGCCACCGGCGCCCGGCTCTGAACGACTTTGTAGGTTACTTCAGTTTCAGCATGGGTCATGCCAAGGTTTTCAGTAGAGACAAAAAGTATGGGATGTGGGGTGTAGCCCAGTTGTCAAGCACTTGTGCAGCCTACTCAAGCCTTGAGTTTGATCCCCAGCACCAAAAAAAGAAAGAGAAGAGAGGAGAAGGGAAACGGAGGAGCACGGGAAGGAAAAGGAAAGAAAGAAAATGACAGAAAAATCAGTAGCTGATTGGTAAGAGCCCATGCTGACATTCCACCACTTTTGGACAGTCAGTCTGCTACAGCTCAGAAACTTTAACTTCTATTAAACTCACAGCCTGGCTTGAGATGATTCCTCTCTGTCATTCATTTTTATCTGTGCCCTAGTTGCTCACTACTTTTCTGTCTTATGCTGTAGCCATTTGAATTCACAGTGTATCTTTTTTAGCCAGCATCTAAATTAGCTGAAACCGGGCTCCGTTGGTTCACACCTGTAATCCTAGCTACACAGAAGGTAGAGATCAGGAGGATCGCAGTTTGAAGCCAAACCAGGCAAATAGTTTGCAAGACCCTATCTCGAAAAAAACCCTTCACAAAAAAGGGATAGTGGAGTGGCTCAAGGTGTAGGCCCAGAGTTCAAACCCCAGTACTGCAAAAAACAAACAAATAAATAGATAAATAAGCTGAAATATAGGTTCTGGTATTTATAACAAGGGCCCACATTAAAAGTGGCTTGCAAGCTGGGCTTGAGATGCACACCTATAATCACAGCATTTGGGAGGCTAAGGCTGGAGGCTACATAGTGAGACTATCTCAAAAATCCAATAAATAAATAAGTAAATAAGTAGATAAATCAAATAGAAGTGGCTTAAAAACTTACAACTCTAATTGACCCTCAAGAGGACCGGGGTTGCTGTGAAGGCTCCATTACTTCACCTATGGATACAAGCTCCTTCTCCTGCTCTGCTTTCCCTAGAAATTACATTTCTTGGTTGGATCAACTCAAGTTTACAGAAGAGTGAAGCCCTGAATTTGAACCCCAGAACTGCAAAAAAAAAAAAAAAAACCACAAAAAAAGCCGAGTTTAGGCTTTTTTAGGATGGTGTTGGTGAAGGGACAAAGGGGCTAACAGGAAGGAATGACCAGAAATCTATGGTTTTCCTATAACAAGAAGGTCATTAGGTGGCATGTATCTCAAAGGAGGAGAAAATTTTCAAGGACTTTAAAAATCATAGTATAAAGCAATGTTCCGGCCCCGAAATGATGATTTTGGAGAATAGTTACATATTGCCAGGTGTGGTAGCATGCACCTATAGTCCCACCACTCAGGAGGCAGAGGCAGGAGGGAGCCCAGGAGACGAAAAATAGCCTAGGCAACATAGTGAGACCCTCATCAGAGAGAAAGTGGTGGTGGTGGGAGGGGGACTTCTGGGAAGAATTTGCTAATATAAGAACATTGCATGGGAACTGGGGCTCTGGAAGGCAGGGTGAAAAGAGTAAAGAGGGGCTCAGCCATGGGTGGAAGGGTATGTGGCCAGTGAAGGCAACAGGTCAGGGAGAGACCTTAGTTATAGCATAGCTCCTGGTGAGTGAGGTGACATAGAGGGCAGTGACTTTGAACAAGCAAGAACTCATTATGATCCTCTGTGCAATTATATTGGGAAAATAATCATTTGGTTGGATAAGCAGAAGTGATTATGATTAAGTGAAAATATTTAAGCTTCTTACTGGAAAGTAACAAAGGGTTTCGTTTGTTAAAAACAAGGAAGGAAGAGGGAGAGAGGAAGTCAAGCATAGTGTACTTTTACTCATAGGTCATTAGTGCAAATAAACTAGCATTAGTATAAAAGTGTCAGCCAACCCTAACCTAATTAGTGACATTACTAATACCTGGCTGTACAGAGTGACCCTGTGTATCCAGTCCCTAAATGGCACCAGAGTCTTGCAGACTAAAATACTCTTTCATAAAAGGATGAATTTTATGGTATAAAAAATATCCTTTTATAAGAACTATTTCTTCACTTTCTTGAACACTATAAGGGGGACGTGCAGACCACTTCAACACTTGAAAAAAAAACAAAAAACCCAGCAAGAGAGCTCTTATCCTTTCTCTTCATCCCAAAATGCCCTCAAGCAAAAATCTCACCCTATGTCTCTAGCCATAGTTACCTACTGCCCACCTGCTCCCCAAGCCCCCAGCAGGAAGTGTCCTGAGGTTGTCACTGCAGTCATGGCTGGCTTCCTAGGCAGGAGACCTGTGCAGCCATACTGGACTCACACTGGGAGCATTCCACTTTGGTTTAATGCTCTGCTGTCACCAATGTGAAATTCTTCATAATTTCAAACAACAAGCCCCACACTTTGATTTTACAGAGGGTCCTGCAAATGATGTAGCCATAGTAACGATATTCTGCTCCTTATGACAGTGCTGGAAGACAGCAGGAGGTCTGGGACGCTTGTCACCCACAGGGCGTAGGGTGTGATGACTAGCTGCATTTCACTCTATTGCATATCCCCCCTCAAGAGAACTGACTGGGTGGCTTTAGCCTTCATCCATAGCTCTCATCTTTCTACCTGTGGGAAGAACAAGGGTGAGTGAATGCTGTAGACATGTACAGATAAATAATTTTTTCTCATATCACAACCTTTTGAGGATAGTAAGTGAAGTTCAGACACAAGTTATGGCATGTGTGTCTGGTTAATATCACAAGGACTGGTGCATATTTTAAAAAGCTTAAAACATTTTCATTAGCATTAAACATTAGCAATACAATAAAAAAGAGAATGTTTGATATTTCCAACAGATATGTTTTTTGAATACAGAATTCTAGAGAGAGAGTTGTGTACTGGAGTGAGCTAATGTGGGAATAGAAAAGACCTACAGAAATAAAGCTAGGCATGGTGGCACATGCCTGTAATGCTAGCACTGGGAGACTCCTTCTCAGGAGGATGGTGAGTTCTAGCTCTGCCTGGGCTACGTAGCTAAACCCTGTCTCTCAAAAAACAAAACAAAATAAAACAACAAAAGAAAAAAAAACCAAACACTTCCTCTGCTCAGTGCAATCCTTATTCTACTCTATCGAATAAAGTGTGGCCCACCACTAGGACTGAAAATAAAGCCAATAAGGATCTTTAAATCATTTTAATTTTTTTCCTTTTGACACATTCTACTGAGGGATAACACTAGGAATATGTATGATTTTTTAGTCTTTCCCATCTGTTTATAGCCACCTTTTAAAAAAAAAAAAAAAGACAAGCTCTGACTACATAGCCCAGGCTGACCTCAAATTCAGGACCTTCCAACCTCAGCCTCCTGAAGGCTGGGATTGTAAGCCTGCACCACTATACCTGTCTGTCTTGTCTATATTATTTTGGAGGTTCAAACCCAGGGCCTCCTGAATGCTAGGCAAATGCTTTTCCACTGAGCTGCAACCCTAGCTCCTTATCTATTTTAATAGTATTCTATAATGCTGTTTTATAGTCTGATTTTTTATTTAGCAATATATTGTGAACATTTTCTTGTCAATAGTTTTGTACAAGTGAATATTTATCACTTGTGGAGTTTTCTTTCATAAGGTCCACCATGAGTATTGAAGGGTGGAGTCAGGTTCCAGGCCAGCCCAGGAAAGAAAAATTTCAAGACCCCATCTTTATTGAAAAAAAGGTGGGAGTGGTTATGCATGCCTGTCATTCCAGCTATGGTAAGAAGCCTAATATAGGAGGATCATGGGCCAGGCTGGCCTGGCAAAAAGTGAGACCCTAAGACCCTATCTCAAAAAAAAAAAAACAGAGTAAAAAGGATTGGAAGCATGGCTCATGTGGTAGAGCACCTGCCTAGCAAGTTCAAAGTCATGAGTTCAAACGCCAGGACTGCCAAAAAAAAGAAAAAAAAAAAAGAGGTGGGGTGGAGCCCAGCACACAGGTGAGGAATTGACTTTGCCTTGTACTTTCCACTGGAATAAGGAGAAGATGTGGTAGGTGAATGCAGGCTGAGAAGGGATCCATGTGTATGTACACACACACATTTTGTCGTTTTT